GACAGGGGACTTTGTGGTGGCTTTTTAAAAGACAGCAAATCCAATCTGCTTTTTACAAAATCAATACTCGGCCGGGCGGTGATGACACACGCCTTTAATCCCAGGACTCGGGAGGCAGAGGCAGGCGGCTCTCTGTGAGTTCGAGGCCAGCCTGGGCTACAGCGTGAGTCCCAGGAAAGGCTCCTGTCTCGAAGAACAAAACAAAGAACAAAAAACAAAAGATAAAAATAAAATCACAAAAAAGGAAAATCTACTCTGCCAGGATTATTTCATAAAAATTCAAATGCCCTGGTGCATTTCAGAGTGCATGCTTTTCATCCAGGAAAATGGCGGTATAGCTTGGAGTAGAACCCTATGAAAGTTAAATGCAAACAGAATGTCAACTAGAACTCTGCACACTCACACTGTTTTCTGTCTTGGCCCATTCTTCTGCTTCTGTAACAGAATGCCACAGACTGGGTGATTGATGAAGAAAAGAAATTCATGTCCCATAATTCTGTAGTCCAGGAAGTCCAAGAGTGAAGGCCCACATCTTATGAGTGGGGGCACTGGGACCATGCGGCAAGAGTGCACACACAGGACAGAGCATGAGGCCAACCTCCCCTTTCACCGGAACCCACCCCAGAGTAGCTAGCCCCGTTCTCACGGTGACAGCATTAACACATGCAGGGGAGCAGAGTCCTCATGCCTGATCACTTCCTTTAGGTCTCAGGTCTCAGCACAGTCACAATGGAACAGTGGCATTCCAACCACAGGTCCCTTTCAACAGAGTAGACGGAGCCTCCTCTCCGTTTCCTCCCTGTGAGGGCCCCCGTGTGGCTGTGTGTTCCACGTAAGATGTGACCAGAAAAGACGAGAAAGTCAGAGCCCAAAGACCTAGCCAGCACCAGCTTAGGTTTAACCAGAAAGGGAGAAGCAGATTGGCAAACATGGAAAAAATTCTCATTTGTACACAGCCCATGAAACATGCTGGTCTGAACACAAGCTCAGGAGCCAGAAGGTCTGGATTTCAGGCCTACTCTTTCCACTCAGCTGTTCTGTGATCTCGGACAAGCTGCCTACTTGGAAACCTACTGTTCCCACACCTAAGGTTCAGCATTTTTATATCCTACCCCAGATGATTATTTAGAGGATTAAATGCAGTAACACAGGCAAGCTGTTTAGCTGGGTCTCTGTCACACAGTGGGTACCACATTAACTGCAAACTATAAACAGCACTACTATTATTACGAATACTAGTACTATTATCATCATTGTCCTTGTGTAATGCTTACAGGCATAATGTATATCTGGGGAAAGTTCCGGAGAAATCGCCATTCCCTGTGGAAGTATTCCAGAGGCCCGATAAATACAATGTCCTTCAGCTCCTGCCGGGTGTAGTTGCTGGCTCTCAGGGGCATCACGAAGTTCCGAAGCCCCACCAGGGCTGAGTGGGCATCCCCAAACACGCACGCTACAATGTGGTCCCGAAACTCATGTTTCGACTTGTCAGTTCGTTTCTATGGATACACGTGCCAGACTCAGGTCAATTTTAGGAACAGGAAGGAGTTCTGCGATGAGCCCCACCTCTTCCCCCTCCTGACTCTCTCGATGTCTCCAGAGTAGTATTTTTATAGGCCAATAAAATCTTTCAACTGCTTATACAAAAATGAAACTTATATATAACCGGTACAGTTATGGCATATATTCTATATATACATATACATGAAGGCAGTACACACATACACACATGTATGTGTGTGTACTTCTTACTCTTCTTTTTTTTAATGTTCTTTCAGTCTGGACTGAATCAACTAAACTTCAGGTCAGTATCATCATTCAGAATATAAAAATGTGTCAAATAGAAATTTTTAAATTGTTTTTAGCTTTGCCAATACTATACGGTATGATTAAGTAAAAAACTGAAATTTATCTCTTCAAGAGAGCCCTGAATATTACATTAGGTTGCACATCATGTTCTAGTATTCAGTGGGTTCTCTTACAGTTGTTGGAATCAGTGAAATTGCCTTTTTATGTATCAAGAATGGCTGATTATTGGCAGGTTCATATGATTACATCTAATAAACTGAACTGATTTGATAAATTCTTTATCAAGTTGACGAAATTCAGTGAAGTTAAAACCACTCGCTGCTCCTCTGAGGATCAGAGTTCGGTTCCCAGCCACTTTGGGTGGCTCACACCTGCCTGTAACTCCAGATCCAGGGCATCTGATGCCCTCTTCTGGCCTCCATGGACACACACACACACACACACACACACACACAC